CCCCCCCCACCCCCCCTCTCTCTCTCTACCCCCCGTCCTGCACGCGCATGCTCTCTCTCCCCTCCTTTTACTCTGACCCTCTCTCTTTCAAAACCCATCCCTCTCTTTCTCCCCACTCCCTTTCTCCCCACTCTCTTTCCCCCCACCGCTAACGCCCTCACAGAGGAGAGTAGGGGTCACTGCTGAGAGTCAGGGCTGTGGTAGCGCATTGACCACATGAGGAACTGAACTGTTATGGGGAATGGCGACTTCAGCACCTAGCAGAGGAGGGTGGATGGGCCAAACTGCCTCGTGCTGCTGGCATTCCCCTTCATAACCGGCGGTGTTTCTCACTCAGGTGTCGGAGGGCTGTTTGCAATGGACTGCGACGATGCAATGAAGGAGCCAGTCTACCTCCTGGAGCTTTCTCCTTCGGGCTCCCTGAACCTCAATCCGAAGGCCATAGAGCTGCTGTCTGCCATTACCCAGCCTGTCCTGGTGGTGGCGATATTGGGGCCCCCCAACACTGGCAAATCCTACCTCATGAACAGACTGGCCAATCGCAGCAAAGGTGAGGGCCCTGCACCCCCCCCCCCACACCCAACCCCACACCCACCCCCACACCACCTCCCCCCCTCACCCCCTCCCTATTGACTGGGCAGTGAGTTCATGTCGTGGGATCTTGCTGTGCATGCCCTCGCCACCATGTCCGAATGCACAACCCATGACTGTGTTTGACCAGCCGTGATGCTTTTTTGGGGTAATTGATGTGGGGAGTAAGTTCGGGCTGTGTGTGTACGTTGGGTCGTGAGAAAGTACTGTTACTTGGACTTTCACAGAGATAGGGGGAGAGAGGGAGAGAGGGAGAGAGGGAGAGATTACTGAGAGTGAGTTAGAGTGAAAGTTTCTGAGTGAGAGAGAGGAGATTGAGGGGAAACATACTGCCACTGTGTTATAGACCAGAAACAGACGCCGCAAAATATATTAAAGGTAGCCTTGACCCTAAGTTTTTGTTATTCCATCGGTAAATGCGAGTTGCTATGTTCCAGATGCAATTCGATTGGCCAAACTACTCAAAGTTAAGCAAAACAAAATTTATTCAAACACTATAGTTAAAATACAACAGAAGAACGAGGGCCTTGGAATAACTTAAATGTATCAGAAAACGTAACAGAGTCATAGATACAGGAACTATTACCAAAGTTGTTGGCTTGCTTTCCTTTATGGGTCAGTGCATTGAGTATAGGAGTTGGGAGGGTCATGTTGCAGCTGTACAGGACATTGATTAGGGCCACTTTTGGAATACAGCGTGCGATTCTGGTCTCCCTGCTACAGGAAGGATGTTGTGGAACTTGGAAAGGGTTCAGGAAAGATTTACAAGCATGTTGCCAGGGTTGGAGGGTTTGAGCTACAGGGAGAGGCTGAATAGGCTGGGGCTATTTTCCTGGAGTGTCGGAGGCTGAGGGGTGACCTTATAGAGGTTTATAAAATCATGAGGGGCATGGATAGGGTGAATAGACAAGGTCGTTTCCCCAGGGTAGGGAAGTCCAAAACTAGAGGGGCATAGGTTTAAGGTGAGAGGGGAAAGATTTAAAAGGGACCCCATGGGCAACCTTTTCACACAGAGGGTGGTGCGTGTATGGAATGAGCTGCCAGAGGAAGTGGTGGAGGCTGGTACAATTACAGCATTTAAAAGGCATCTGGGTGGGTATATGGATAGGAAGGGTTTAGAGGGATGTGGGCCAAATGCTGGCAAATGGGACTAGATTTATTTAGGTTATTTGGTCAGCATGGATGAGTTAGAGTGAAAGGTCTGTTTCCCATTCTGTACATCTCTGTGACTCTAATGAGAGAGGGGGAGTGAGAGGAAGCAATATTACCGAGCGAGGGGAAGCAATATTACCGAGCGAGGGGAAGCAATATTACTGAGCGAGCGAGCGAGAGGAAGCAATATTACCGAGCGAGCGAGCGAGGGGAAGCAATGTTACCGAGCGAGAGATGGAGAGCTGTTTTAAGATTGATGTCACTCCCTACTTGGGCAGATGATGGCCAATGTTGTTATTTCTAGATCTAGTAACTCCGGAACTGCAGTCACATCCTGGGGACAGAGGTTCAAATCCCGCCATGGTAGACAGTGGAGTTTGAATTCAATTTTGAAACAAAATTGGAAATAAAATGATGATGAATTTTAAAAAAAAACCTTTCTGGTTCACTGATGCCCTTTAGGAGCAAGGAAATCTATGTCTGGTTTGGGCCTACATGTTACTCCAGACCCACAGCAATGTGGTTGACTCTTAACTGTCCTCTGGGGCAATTAGGGATGGGTAATAAATGCTGGCCTGGTCAGTGACTCCCTCATCCCGTGAGTGAATTAAATAAAGATTAGGCTGGTTCGGAATTGAATGGAGCCTTCATCCATCATGCAATTACCTTCCCTCTATCCTCTTGATCATCTTCACCCGTCATAGATGAGTTTTGACATTTAATGTGCTGTGGAAGCTCGGTCTCTTACACTCTCTCTCTCTCTCGTGCCTGTGACGCAAGTTAGCTGTTTGTCTCCCTCCCGCAGGATTCCCGCTGAGATCTGGGAAGAGGCCTCCTGGCTGGAGAACATGGATATGGTGTCTCCCTCACCCTACCCGCAAGGAGGAGCGCCTGGTTATTCTGGACTTTGATGGATTGGAAGGAGAGGTGAAATTGGGCTGGGGAGAGGGTGCGGCGAGTTGGGGGATTGGCGGGGAAGAGGCCACGTCTGGGAACGAAAGGACCCTGTCAAGCAAGGACGTTAGGAAGAGATGAAGGCCCTCCCCACCCCGGTCTGTGGATTTGGGCTCCCAGAGGATCAGGAGGGAAGTTCATCTTGTTTAAGATCCTGGGATATTGAGTCTGTGGTGAACACAATCATTGTAGAGGAGACTGCCTGGTTTCTGAAAGGAGTGAGGAAACCAGCAGAGTCTGGCCTACATGTGACTCCAGGCCCACCTCCACAGGCTTGACCCTTAACATGCCCCAGCAAGGCCCAATCGGATCAAGGGGACCTGGCATGGTTAGCCCTTGCTGGTGCTCCTAAATGCAGTGTGAAAAAGCTGAGCCTCTTTTCGTTTTTCCTCTTCGTTTGTAAGAAATAGGAGGTGGAATAGGCCATTCAGGCTCTCCGGCCTGGGCCCGCCATTCTGTACAATCATGGCTGATCTTCCCCAGGCCTCAGTTCCTCTTTCATGCCAGCTCCTTCCTTCAAACACCAATCTACGTCGTCTTTGAATCTTTCATTGATTTAGCCTCCAGAATTCACTGGGGAAGAGAATTCCAGACATTCACTGTTCCTCTGGGAGAAGGAATTCCTTTGCATCTCTGATTTAAATGGGCCTCCCTTTATCCTGTAATCCTGTCCGCAACTTGAGAACCACACACCCCACCTCCCCTTCCCTGATCTCTCCACCTCTCCCCTTCCCCGATCTCTCCATCACTGCCCTTCCTCGATCTATCGCTGTGATCAATCACTCCATCTCTCCTCCATCCTAATCTCTTCATTTCTCCAATATCCCAATCTGTCCAAGCCTCCCTGTGCCAAATCTCTCCACCTTTCCACCTTGGGGTGGCACGGCGGCTCAGTGGTTAGCACTGCTGCCTCACAGCGCCAAGGACCCAGGTTCAATCCCACCCTCGGGCAACTGTCTGTGTGGAGTTTGCACATTCTCCCTGTGTCTGTGTGGGTTTCCTCCGGGTGCTCCAGTTTCCTCCCACAGTCCAAAGATGTGGATTGGGCCATGCCAAATTGCCCGTGGTGTTCAAGGACATATAGGCCAGGTGGGATAGCCATAAGAAATGTGGGGTTACAGGGATAGGGTAGGGGAGTGCCTTTTAGAGGGTTGGTGTGGGCTGAATGGCCTGCTTCCATGCTGTAGGGATTCTCTGATACCCTCCTGTACCCCAACCTCTACATCTGATTATCTCTTTTCTCTCCAGGGAAATGAGGAGACACAAACCAAGACATTTGCCCTGGCTTTGATCCTCAGCAGCATCTTCATCTACAACAGCAAAGGCACTGTTGACCAGAATGCTCTGGATAAACTGAGGTAACCTTTCAATGGCCATTTGGGGATGACTTTGCTTTAAATTCAGATTGGGCTTGGGCAAGGGGAGTGTCGGAGAGATTGGGCAAGGGGAGGGATGGAGAGATTGGGGGAAGGGGAGGGACGGAGAGATTAGGAAAGTGGGGGGTGATGGAGAGAGTATGTGTACAGTTTGGCTTCAGGCTGTTTTGGGATCAGTTACATCTCTGTTCAGAGTGAGGCAGCCTTTGGTCATTTCAAGGAAATGATGAGACAGATACTTTATTTATAACCTGCCACCCATAACGTTCTTTCTATATTCCTACACACGTTTCGTTTCATTCTCACAGTCTGTCTATCACTCGTGGTCCCAGTTCTGTATCTCTTATCCTAATTTGTGTTTGTATTTATTTACACCTTTACCTCCCTATCTCATTCACTCCCTAAATTTTCACCCTTAAACCTCTCTTTTCTCACAACATCTGCTCTTCTTTCTTCCTGTATTTTTCTATCCATCCATCACTGTCTGTCTCTGCCTCTGTCTGTCTCTCTCTCTCTCTGTTTACTTCTCCCATTGTTACCCCTCCCTATAAATGCTGAAAATCTTCATCCCTACCCCTCAGCTCTGGGGTTTGGGGACAAAAGTAAAATCCCATTAATAAGGAGATTTGCCCTTGAAGCTAATTTTGAATGTGTGAGGGATAGAAATTACAGCACAGAGCTCTGGGGCCGAATGGCCTGAATCTGTGCTACAGCTTCTGTGTAATCTTACATGATTGCTTTTTAGCCTGATTGGTCTGTGTGGATACTGTCCCATTTTTAACCTTGTCCTCATGCTTGCCTTCAGCCTTGTCCCTGGGCAGTGAAGCCTGATTTGAGGACGGCCTCTACTGCTCCTTTACTTTATTCCAAATGCTCCTGATGTGACAGCATTTGAATCACAATGGATTTGTTGGGGATTTGAATATTAGTGTAAACTCCTTATTTTGGACCAGAGCAGACCCCCCCTCAAAATATTCTTAGAAGGTACCCTAGACCACCCTAAACTCCTTATTTTGGACCAGAGCAGACCCCCCCCTCAAAATATTCTTAGAAGGTAGCCTAGACCCTAACCTTTTTTTACTTAAAAGGTAACTATAAAGTGTTGTGTTCAGCTAGACAAATTACTTGGTATTAAGCAAAACACAATTTATTTAAACACGATGGTTAAACTACAACAAAAGAAAGAATAACTTAGAGTAACGTAACTCTATTGGAAAACTTAACATAATAATTGGTACAGGAATGATTCCTAATTAACAGCAACATCCTGCAAACACAGCCCTTTGACAAAATGGCAAAATCAGAAATCAGATTTTCTCACATGCCACGCCCGCAGTAGGAAGAGAAACCCCAGCTTCTAGTTATAACCGAGAGAGGGGAGAAAAATAGCTTCTACTTCTCTAAAACTCCAGCAGCTTCTGCTAAAAACTAAAAATAAAAAATAAACTAGAAATCCTGGTCTGAGAGATAGTAGGAACTGCAGATGCTGGAGAATCTGAGATAACAAGGTGTAGAGCTGGATGAACACAGCAGACCAGGCAGCATCAGACGTGCAGGAAAGCTGATGTTTTGGGTCGGGATCCTCTGAGGAAGAGTCCCGACCCGAAATGTCAGCTTTCCTGCTCCTCTGATGCTGCCTGGCCTGCTGTGTTCATCCAGCTCCACACCTTGTTATCTGGTCTGAGAGAGGCTTCCACACCCAGCCAGGCTGCTTCTATTGTTCCAACTCGAAAACAAATACCCCATGGCCTCACAAGTAGTTTATGTTACAGACTGCACCGTGCTTGTTGTCCAATCTCTCTCTTGAAAGAAACCAGGACACCTCTTAAAGCCACAGCATTGTCAAAACAGCCTTGGCATTACAAAGTTGAACAGCCTTGGCATTGTGACATTACAGAGTTAATAATCATCAGTGACAATGGCCTCACTTCCAACCCAATACCATCATCATTATTTAACTGTTCAATGAAGAATCTCAACAATCGAAAGGCACAAAACTGTCTGAATTCTACGTAACTCCCTACTCTTAGGGTGTGCTGAGGGAGGGGGGTATGTAGAGCATTAAGCAGGTGTGATAAGATGGTGGGCTGTGCATGTTTGAAGCAGAATGTTTCACCTCTTCTTCCCAATGTCCATCAGCTACATCACCAAGCTCCCCAGGTACGTTCAGGGAGGTGCAGATGACAGTCAGGGGGCCATATGTCCAGAGTTTCTCTGGTGTGTGCGGGACTCAGAGCTGGAACTTTGGATTGGTGACTTCAGGCTGGTTGCAGATGACTATCTGAATGACGTTCTCGTCACCAGCCAAGGTAAGAATGGACATGATTGGTGGTGATCTAGAGTTAGGTGCCAACAGCAGAAATTCCCCTTTCTAAGCCAGCTCCTCCAGTTGCCACAAACTCAGAATCTGGCGCATGTCCAACTGGCGCTGACCCCCCCGACAGCACTGCGCTCCCTCGGTGCTGACCACCCCCCGACAGCGCTGCGCTCCCTCGGTGCTGACC